CCGGCAAACTGCGCCTTCTGGATTAACTTTTGGTTTTATCCCTCTCTTAGATTTTGATACCAGATTCTCCTTGTCGTCTGACATTTCTCGCTCACATAGAGCAAGTTTTAGTTGTTGTTTTGACAGTTTGCATGGTTTACTGAGCTCTCGCTAATGGCGCTTTCTGATTGGTTAATTTTAAGAGGCACTGATTGACACAAGCAAGACAATATGAATATGAAAATAGGGGGCATTTCATTAGTTAATGGGGGTCTGTGGCAAGCCCTCCCTTTCCCCTCCGCACATTGCGCTCCCCCCAATCCCCCTCCTTCCCCCAGGGCTTGCTTCGCAGGCTACTCGGTTAAAAACCAATTTATCTTGTTATACCCCCCTCCACCCTCCGGGGCTCAACACTAACTTTTCAACTTACTAGCCAAGCGGCTAGCGACTTCTTAAATGTTATGACAATTTCAGTTTGTTTGCTAGCCAAACTGGCTTGTAGAAGTCAAAAACCCCAAGCCAAAACTGGATTTCTACTAGTCTGTGGCTAGTTGGCTACCATTAGTGTTGAGCACTGCCCCCAACCAATACAGCACTTTAATTTAAATACCCTCTCATATAGTCTTTCAGGGTGAAAGTATCTTGGATTGTCAACCCTTCTACTCCCTGATCTCATTTAGTAATTCACCTTACAGTCTGCGATACAATTCTATCACGTTAGTTCAAAGAATTTGGTATTGAATCACCTAACAATCCTCTAATTGATCTTTTCCTTTCTTCTCATTATTTAACTGCTTGATTTTGTGTTGATATGGTAGGGAGAAGTTCAGTTTTGGTCTCTGATGGGAGTTAAGGGGTTAACAAAAAAAGACTACAAAGACTGGATATTGGGGTCCCATAAACTGACACACACTTGTAACAATTTAGCAGGCAATCATGATGTTTTTACTTACGGTCAAGGCCTGCATAGCAACATGGGGAACCCTATGGTTGATTCTCTTCATTATCGATCGCAATGCATCTTTAGGTCTGTGAGGTAGTAATGAAAAAGAGAGATGATTAACATTAGATGTCAAAATTTTGACTCAAGTTAGCAACTTTTCCACTTTTTTGCTCACCCTCTGTTGCAGCTGGTCAACGCATGGACGTTGTCTAGGTTCCCATACCGGACATTCAAGTTTTCCTGCAT